GAGTGGGGGAGGCTGAACAAGGGGAGCATTTCTTGGGTGACCTTTTCCTGGCGGGGGCTTCCATGCTGGCTTGTAGGCAGCTGCTCTCTGTGGCCTCCGATGGCTTTTTTCCCAGCAAGCACACATGTGAAGACATTTTTCTGTCTTCCTGCTAGACCACGAGGGTCCCATCCTCTGGCTCTTCTGAACCCAAGCTCCTACCTCCAGAACAATTACACTGGGGATTGGGGGTTCAGCTTCTGAATTTGGGGAGTGGAGACCCCACTTTCAGCCCATACTAACCTCTTTGTAAATGAAATGTCCCCTCACTTTGTAAACATTAAGTACTTTACTGAGCATATAGATTTTTTTTAATGTCTCCTTACTTTTTCTGTGTCCATGCTTGTAACATGTGATATGTACAGTATAGTTCAGCCAGTGATGTAATCACTTCTTTGGGACGTAATTTTATTAAATTATGGAAGTGTGGTTTGTTTCTTTTTGTCCTTCATCCTGTGGTCACACAAATGACGGTAGTTAAGCCTGTATTTCATTACCATTTGTGATTTCTGCATGGTTTGGTTCCTTTTCATCAAAATCCAAACATGACCTGAAGGTATTAAATCTGAAATTTACTGCCCTGAATTTGAAGTGAAAATTTTTGTTTTTAATTTTATGTTTGCCATTCATAGAAAAGTTCCTGAGTGTGACTTTCATATAAATGGTACGGAAGGGGCTGGGGATTTAGCTCAGTGGCATAAGCACCTGCCTTGCAAGCGCATGGTTGTGAGTTCGATCCCCGGTACCAATTAAAAAAAAATGGTACTGAAGATTATTCCTTAACTATTTTGCATTTGTTAATACTTTGAGAGAACATAACATCTGGACTTATATAACAAGAGAAACCTTGTGTGACCTTATGATAATCAAAAATCATTTGAATAATTGATTCAAATCAGGACGGGAAAGAGTGGTTTCGTAAAACAGCATCAGGGTTGAGCCAATATCCTACTGTAAGCCAGTCTGGGGCTTTGGTTTGGCATTGGGCATCATTGTCCCTCAGCACTTGGTCAGTCTGTGGAATTGTCTCCCTTTGAGAGGACTTTCTGTCCTTCTCTGACCTACTTGGTAAAGTCTCAGCACTTGATTTATGAAGGATAATTAGGCAAAGGCCTCTACAGGGATCCAATTAAAATTCATGCAATCAATTGTCATTCTGTACAATCCTGAAAAATATTTTTAGCCATAGAAGAGTAGAAATGTCTGCCTGAAATTCTATCTCTTGCAAAGGCAAACCTCTGATGAGTGTATATTTCTTTAAAATTAAATTTAACTAATCTGCAGAAATTATACAGATCAGTGGGGTAATGTGGTGTTTCAGTACACTTAGATGCTGTGTAATGCTTAAATCAGGTTAAACACCCTGATCTCCCCAAACATTTGTCGCTTTGTTATGATGAAAACTTTCAGTATATTTTCTGCAGCTTTTAGAAGTGTACATTTATTGATTTTTATTTTTTTCAAAGGGAGCTGTGTGTGTACACAGTTTTAAAAAATAAACCAGCTTGCAAGGCTTATTTAAAAAAAAAAAAAATCTTGGGGCTGGGACTATCAGCGACATAAGACCTGCCTGGCAAGCGCAAGGTCCAGAGTTCAATCCCTGGTACCAAAAAATAAATAAAACCTAAAAAAACTCTTGAGACTTCTGTGCCCTCTCTTCTTATTTCTCCTACCTCAGGCAACCGTTTTTTCTGCCTCCCGGTGATTTTTTCGCTCTGTTGTTTCTTGACCTTTGAATGCGGGCAGCGTGTGTCGTCTGCCCACTGTGGAAGGCACCCGCCGACCTCCCTTTCTGTCTCCATCCCCCCCCCCCCGACCTTCTCACGGCCCTGTCCTTCCTAGGTGGCTGTATGTGATCTCAGTTTGCCCTGAGTTACATTAGCATGCCTGTAACCATAGTGGAAATGGAGTAAGCTGGATTATTTTTCCTTTCCCCACTGACCATTTTGTCTTCTTGTAGTGTTGTAGTTACTTATCTGTGTACTTACCCTCATTCATCCCCACTCCTCACCAGTTGTCTGATTTCCTGTTGGAGCTGACTCAGATGTGCTGGTGTTCTCTCCCGTGTGAAGTTCTCTCGGGAAGGTCTCTCGGGACCCTCCCCTCTGACCGGCTGCGCTGGTGACCCTTTGGGTCTGGTCTCCAAGCTCTCATCCTGGCATTCCCATCTCCCCATCTCTGTCTCCCGGGTGAGAGCTCTTGCTTCCTACATTCTGTGTCTCTCTCTCAGTTATCGCCTTGGTATGACACAGCACATGCTGGGAAAAGGGGAGAGGAGAGATTGATTGAGAAATTGCATGTGTAAAATATCTTTATTTTGTTGCTATTATGTGCCCTTTAATGCTTCCGAGCTTGAATTATGATAATGAGAGAGAGACAGACAGAGAGAGAGAGAAAGAGATGGAGAGACAGAGAGAGCACTGTCGTTTTGGTGGGGTGAAGGAAGAGGAACCAGATTAGACAGGTTTAATTGCCCCGTTCCCTCTGCAGTGTCCTGTCACTATACATGTTTTAAACACAACGAACATTTCTTTCAATTTTAGGCCAAGAATTACAGTAATTTAGGAAATAAGTTCAAAGGGAAGCTTGTTGTGTTCAGGTGATGGAATAAAATCGGAGCTGCGGACCTGGGTGGCTGATGTAGAAAAGTACAGAGCACTCAAGAAAGTCTTCAGGCTAAGCAGGGAAAAGCCTTCGTTTCCATTTTCCTTCAGGTTCTGAGAGGGGAAAGGAATTTTTTCTCTCACAATTAAGAAGTACAAGATAAGGAAACTAGATAGTGGGTGGTGGCCACCGAACATTATGAATGTGGCAAATGCCATGGAATTTTCCATTTAAAAACCTAATTGTTCATTAAGTTATGTTATATGAATATACACGTTCTTTTAACCTAAAAGTTTGAAATACATAAACATTTTCAAAGCTCGTAGCTACACGGCAAACTGCTTTGGGGAATTAAAAAATAAATCGACTTGTTACCCAGGCCTCATTAAATTCTGTTTCTGATGTCCACAGAGAAACTTTGTAGAGATTAAAACAAGCACAATTCTGAAAGATTTTCTGAGTGTTAAGTTCATTTTGGGATTCAAAAAAAATCAAGATAGTACAGGGATGATAAGTGAAGTTGGTATTTCAGGTAGAGAATATAGAAAAGATTAACAAGCACTTAATATATGTGCCTAATAGCAGAATATGTGCGCTGAAACTGGGTAGTACAAACTATGACACAGTTGAGACCTTCTGACTCTCTGATTGCTTATATATAACAGAAGAAATGGGAAACCGATGGAATGTGACACAGCGCCTGTAAATTTACACCACTGATGTATTGCTAAGCTTTCTTATGAAACTCCTGGTTCCTTGAAAAGGGTCACTAACATTTTACCTTCGAAAAGGTGGCATTTGGCAATTTTGTACACGGTGCTAGAACATGTGTATGGGAAGCTATAGCAACAAGGTTCAAATCCTGACTTTACTGTTTACTAAATTCTCAAGGTCTCATTTCCCTCATGTGGGAAACAAGCATAATAATAGGCATTGTATGAGAATGTGAATTAATATAGGTAAAGATTTAAATGTTACCTGGCTCACAGTAAATGTTCAACAGATTTAAAAAAAAAAAGTCAGGAGGCTGAATTTTCTATGCTCTATTATATGCAGTGCTGGATCCAGGATCTCAAGCTAGACAAGTGTTGTACACTCAGCAACAACCCCAGATGTTTGAGCTACTTGTTGCTGGGACAAAATACCCACCACTCACAAGTTAAAGGAGGAAAAGCTGTATCTCAGGTTGTAGAGGGTTCAGTCCATAGTCAGCTGGCTCCAAGGCAGGGTGGCATGGCAGAGGGGCATCACAGAGAGAAACAGTTCATGGCAAAGCAGGGCAGGCAGAAGGCAGACGGCGGCAGCATCAGCATCCGGCTTCCCTTTCTCTTTTATCCCACTTAGGCTATAAACCTATTGGGAGTGGTGCTGTCCACACCTAGGGTGAGGTTATCCACCAGAACTATGATTAAACCAATTAGTGACTAATCCATCATCGCACACACTTAATCCCAGTATCACATTTGCATAGAGTTGGCCACCTCCAAAAAGCTGCACCTATGATTGCATGATGCTTTGGGAGGATAGCTAGGTGCAGTTCATAACTCCAGCTCTCAGTAAATGTGACCTCTTTGTTTTTCCAGTGTTTTCTTTTGTGTGTGTGTGTGTGGTTTTTTTTTGTTTTTTGTTTTTTGTTTTTTTTTTTTTTTTTGGTACCGGCAATCAAATTCACGACCTTGCACTTGGCAGGCAGGCCCTTATGCCACTGAGCTAAATCCCAAGCCCTCCAGTGTTTTCTTAAACTGCAATCCGTCAGAGCATATCTGGAGTAGTATAGGATACTACTATGCTATCCTATAGTATAGGATAGCATAAAGGATACAATGTGAAGCCACTTCTTTACCAGAGGTGTCGTTTGGCTCTGGTAGCCAATGACAATAAGTGCTTTCAGCTTCTTCTTTCTCACTGTATTTGTCATAGTAGTTAAGTACTTCTTTTTGTTTTTCTCTAGATACTGAACAGGCTTGCTTATCTTTAATTTCTAAAAAAATACTTAATAATGCATGCAGTGGATTTGTAAAACCAAGAACTTATAAATAGTGTTTATTTTTAGCTTCCTATATCTGGTTTAGACATAATCCCTATCATTTTTACATTTTCCCTGGAAATCTATGCAAAAGGTTGACGATGAATCTGAGCTATAAACCTGCCATCGAAAGATATAATGAATCAGGGGCCACAATAAGTATTTCATTTGAAGGCTTTTTCTTTACTGGAAGTGTCAGTGACCAATGAAGAGAATTTGCTCACCACTTATAATTTCAGCTGTGGTTTGAAATTCCTCATCTTCCTGCAAGATGAAGTGCTGTGTGCTGTCATTTTCATTGCTAAGCCATCTTTTAAATTTTGCTTTACAGATCAACGATCAGAATTTTGAAGGAAAGCCCTAAACATTCTGATGGTGGTGGTAGCCATGGCAGCTGATGATAAAGTTGCTATCTTGACTGACGATGAAGAGGAACAGAAGAGAAAATACGTGCTGGCTGATCCCTTCAATGGTGTCTCCAGGGAACCAGAACGACCTTCAAACGAAACACCCTCTTCCACAGAAACATCTGCTATTCCTGAGGAGGAAATAGACTGGATAGAGAAACACTGCGTGAAGATAAACAACGATCTCCTGATTTCCAAGGTTTTCTATTTTTTCTTTTATTCTGCCTATGGCTCTCTCTACCCACTTCTGCCTGTGTATTATAAACAGCTGGGAATGTCGCCTAGCCAGAGCGGACTTCTCGTAGGTATCCGGTACTTCATTGAATTCTGTAGTGCCCCTTTTTGGGGTGTAGTTGCAGATCGCTTTAAGAAAGGCAAAATCGTCCTCCTCTTTTCTCTTTTGTGTTGGGTTTTATTCAACCTGGGCATCGGGTTTGTCAAACCTGCTACCTTGAGATGTATACCAAAGATCGCCCCAACGACTCGCCCCACCAACGCAAGCCACCCATCAACCATCCTGCCAACAGATGCCTCCTTCCTTAACACATCACCAAGAATGCGTGAGAAAAGGAATCTGCCAAGTTCCGAATGGCCACCAATGTTAGAAGCAGGGCCTGAGGCCTCAGAGATGAACATCTTTACGATGCCTTCAGCTAGGACCCCCGAACCCAGTCTGCAGCCCCAGCCAGGTGAAATGACCGACCATGTTCTGGACTTGATTTTGAATGCAAGCACAGTAACCTCTGTCCCCACAGGAAATGTAACCAGGGAGACCACCACTGCCGTCGCCACCACCTCCAAGTCATTCCCTTCTGCTCAGGTCACTCTTATTTATGACCCACAAGAAGTGGAAGCTATATTCTTGGTGATCTTGGTCGTGGTCATCATAGGAGAGTTTTTCAGTGCCTCTTCTGTCACGATCGTAGACACGGTGACACTTCAGTATCTGGGGAAACACAGAGACCGCTATGGACTGCAGCGCATGTGGGGGTCCCTGGGCTGGGGCCTGGCCATGCTGTCCGTGGGCATCGGCATTGACTACACCCACATAGAAGTGCTTGTCCACGGAAAGGGCTGCAAGCCCCCGGAGTACCGGAACTATCAGATCGTCTTCATCGTCTTTGGCGTCCTCATGACCATGGCCTTGATTGTGGCTACTCAGTTCCGGTTCCGTTACAACCACTTCAAAAACAGCGATGATAAGGGGAAAGAGGTAGAGATCCCCCCGGTGGAAAGGAATGCCTCCCCGGAGGCCTCCGAGGAGACACCGTCTGCCACAAGCCACTCCCAGACCTTCAACTTCTGGGACTTGATCAAACTGCTGTGCAGCGTGCAGTATGGCTCTGTGCTGTTCGTGGCTTGGTTTATGGGTTTTGGATACGGCTTCGTGTTCACCTTCCTGTACTGGCATTTGGAAGATCTCAATGGGACCACAACCCTCTTTGGGGTCTGTTCTGTCCTGAGCCACGTGTCGGAGCTGACAGCATATTTCTTTAGTCACAAGCTTATTGAATTGATTGGTCACATCAGGTAAGAAAACACATGTACTCTTGGTGCCCCTCAGCTGTGGTGCTTTATGCTATTGTGGCTTGTAACGATTTTAGCATGATAAAGGTTGTTAGGAGGGTAGGGTTGGGGTGAGAATGGGGCTGTCTGTTGCAGTTCCTCCTGAGTGTTGAGGCATAGGAAAGAAAGAACCTTGCTGGACTAGCTAAAACAAGGAAGTAAACAAACCAATCAGAGCTGCCTCCTTTCTCAAACTGCTCAGAAGTGACCCATAGGCCACTTGACCATGTGCTGAGACTCTTACGGTAAATATTTTCAGGTATAAGAGAACCACAGACTTCAAGGGTCTGCCTACTTCAGGTATTTATGAGAGAGGGTTTCTGTGGATAAAATGGATTGTTTTTCTGGGGCTTCATTTATTCTCAAGTTACTTATTGACACAAAGATAGACCTCAACTTGTGGCATATAGAGATGCCAGGGAGCTGGGGATGTGGCTCACAGTAAACACCTGCCTGGTAAGCACACAACCCTGAGTCTGATCCCAAGCACTAAAGAAAAAAAATTAGACCATTATGTTTAATAAAGCTGTGACATAACCCAACATAATTCATATCCATCATATTGCATGGAAGAAATTCTTACATAACTTTTTTTTTCTAACTGTTACACAAATCTTTGCATTTTTAAAACTGTCCTGAGGACATAGTCTATTTAAAGATGTTCCTTTTATCTGAAACTTCCTGTGTTATCCTTTTAGCCATCAAACAAAACCCACAAGCCAAACCAATAAATGCCTACTGTCTCTTTGACACCATTAATAATTGCCAAATGAATGGTACGTTTCTGTTTTTAGTGTTCTATTAATGGCTGTAAAATATGCCTCCAACTATGCTTAAACATTCTTGCCTTGTAGAAGAGTACAAATTTCCAGTTGCCATCATGAAAAGAAAGCAACTCTGTATATTGGTTTTTACATGATCATCTTTAAGTCTGCTCTTTCTGTAGGAAATCAGAAAAGAGAAATGGATAATGGCAAGAAATGGAAAACATTTTTCCTTATAGGCTTTTGTTTCCTTTCTTACTCAAGATGTTTTCTAATTTAAAGTTTCATTGCATCCCCCTAAACAGTTGTGAATATTTTTCCCTGTTGGGCTTGGTTGTACTCAGGAGGCCAAGCTCTGTGGCTGTCTCAATCTTTGACCCCTTTGTTGTCACTAAACAAAGCAAGACACTGTGTCTCCCTCCAGAGTCCCTGAGGCACTACCAGTTGGACCAGGCTGAAAAGGAACCTTCTGCTGGTCAGATCTAGGATGCCCTTCAGCCTTGTCCAGCTAAGTTTGGATTCTCTGAGCTGTGTGGATCTAGCCAGGGTTTATGAATAATTGCTCTGCTAGTAGTGTTTTTAAAAACAGTGATTTGTCTAGTAAAGTGTTTCCAAGGAGAGAAGTTCCTACATGCCATTTTTCATTAGTGAGTACTAAAAAAAACCCCAACTTAGTACAGAATATGCATGTAGGCTCTATTTTCAGAGATATCATTGGGTTCTTCTCACATGGCTATGGAAAGAGTTCTCTTCTGTCTTTGCCTTTCATAATTCAATATTTTCATAAATCCTAGTAGGCTCACAACTACTTCTGGTAATTATATCAGGGCATACTTGTGTTTTTTCTGAGTAATTATGAGTTACTTCTTCTTTAAAAAAAACCCTATTGTATATTTACTCATAATTTTCTGGTTTTATGTACAAAAAGCATCTCCTTTCTCATTTAACGACGTGATGGAGGAAGCCCTTGTGTCACACGAGTCTGCTGGGATCCCAGCAGTATGGGGTCTTTCTTCTGCTTTTGTATTTGGATTCTGTCCATTAAAATGTATTGGTTATTTTAAATAGTTAGATGAGTCTGATAGCTAAAGTAAGATTATGCTGCATTTGTAGTCAGACAGAACAGATCTGTTGCTCTTAATGACAGTTTTGCGAGTCCAGACAGGCAGTGGTTGTTGAGACTTGAGGGTTTGTAAATATAGTGGTGACAGCTTAAATTTTAATTGGAAGAATATCATATGTTAAAAAGCTGAGGAATTCTTAGTCTTTATGTTTTCCTCATAGGAATCATGAAGGGAGATTCTATCTAGGGCCTTCTGTAGTCTGTTTTTTCAGTGTTCAGTATCACACTAGGAATTTTAAAAGTCAACATTAGCATAAAATTTGTATATGCTAATGTAGTCAGAAGTGTATGTTCACAAATTCTTTATATAGATTCAGAATGAAGAAGAATCTGTACCATAAGAGGTTTAAAATAGCACACTTCAAACCGCTTAGTGTTTCAACAGTTTAACCCAGTTTTTCAGGATTTGACTTACTGGCCTAAAACACACACATGCACACACACACATACACATATGCACAAACACCAGAGTAAATGATTTCAGGTTCTTGAATTTTTGTCCTCTAAAAAATAACTTTCTCATGGAAGCAGCATAATGCTTAATATTTATACTAAGAAAATAAATTTCTTTGAAATCACAACACTTTGGAATTTGCAGAAATTATACTTTTAGGCTCATGTATGTAAAGTTAATTAACTAGAGGAATTTTATATGTCCTTCCTGAATACCTCAACACTCAGGAGTAGGGTTGTAACCAAAGTAAATAGTAACAGTGATTTGTAAATTTGTGAATCATTGTTTTCCAATGTTATTTGATTTAAATTTATTTCTGTTGTAAAGGATATAGAAAAAATGCTAGATCAATTTACCCTAAAATTATTTTTTTTTTCTACGTGGTACTGGGGACTGAACCCATAGCCTTTTCTCTGAGTGATGTTCCCAGTCTTTTTTTTTTTTTTTTTTTTTGAGTCACCATGTCATTAAGTTGTCCAGGCTGGGCTCAAACTTGTGGTCAGCCTCAGCCTCCCAGAGCTGGAGGTGACAGATGTGTTACCACCCCAGCCATCACCTTGAAATTCTCACATTTGAGGGTTAGGGTTAGGTTACCCAGAAGGGGTAATCATCACCCACTTTAGCTGTGAATTACACTTCACAGTAGCCGAGTATCCCCGAGTATCCCTGTGGGCTAGCTCAGCTTGTGAAAGAAGGGAATGCATTCACTTACGTAAGAGGGGGAGCACCAGACTTCCCCAAGGAAGAGCTGGGACTGACTGACTCAGACTGTGGGCTTGTGGGAGGAGGCACGTGGCGGGTGGGTGCTCACTGGAGACCCAGCGACAAGAGTGCAAAATGCATAGGTCGTGACCAATTTGAACTGGCCTTTGAGAGACAGAGAGATGGTGTCTGTCTTGGTACTTCGGCTGTTTGTTTCTTTGCGGCACCACCCCCTCATGCCTCTGCTGATCCTGGATGTAGGGCTGTTGTATTGTCTTTCGGCCCCACTACCTTGTCTTCCCCTGGACTCATGCATTGGCTCTTCAGCAGCGGACTCCCCTGGAGGGCTTCTGAAGCTCGGGCTGCCTCAGCCCACTTCCCTCAGACCCTCCAGGCCGTGTACTTTTTAAAAGCCCCCTCCTAGGTTCCAGTTTGCAGCTAAGGTTGAGAAAGACCAGAACTCAGGAGATGCATGGAGGGAGGAGGCAGATGGGGCGGGTTCCTTTTTGTAGCGCATGTAGCTTGCTTATGTGAACTTTGGTTGTGGTTTCCCTGCTCCTTCTAACAGATTCCTTCCTGTTCTCTGGAAGTTTCCTCACATGCATGAACTCAGGAGTAAGAGCTGGAGTCTCAGAGGTTCTTTTTGTACATCTGTCCACTCCAGGGTTCATCCTGCTCCCCAGAATCCCAGCCCTGTCCCTCTGTGCTGTTAGGTAGCATCTCAGCTGTGGATCCACCTGCAGTGGCTGGCCTGGCGCTGGGCAGTGTCTCCTTCCTCTATCCTTCCAACCTGGCTGTGTGGGGGCTGCCTGAAGCTCTCCTGTCCTCTGACCAAGTCCTTGAGTGAAGACATGTGGGTGCCTGGCTCCCCAATAGAAGCCGGTTCACACACCACCCTTCACTGCTTAGGAGGAGCCCTCGTGGTGGTTCCCATAGTGAGAAAAGAGCTCAGAAACAAGAACTCAGTTCCTGACTCAAAAACAAACCGGAGGTGAACCTTAGCTTTTTCCCTTTTGATATCTCAAGGGAGGAATAATTCTTTTAAAAGGTTTTTACCTTGGTTAAAAAAATATTTTAAAAGGTTCTGTTTTCCTAACAAATTTTAAATTACACCATATGTCCTCTAGAGAAGCAGTTATTCCTCTATAGTATTTAAAGTGAAGCCCTGAGTATTCATTCAATTTAATGGAATACTTACTTAGAAGTCCAAATTCATAAGATACAGAGCTCTAAAGGGAAGGAGGTTGGAAAAGACAGGAATAGAGAATGCCACGTGGGTGCCGACCTTCTTTGGAGTGGGCAGGGTCACTGCAGGCTCAAAGCAGAGGTGAGCCATCTGTCTATGGGTGTCACTTGCAGATACATAGTACAGGTCACTCTGAGCTTGGGTCACTGGGTACATTCTTAAAAGAGTAAGAAGCTATAGGCCTGGTTCCAAAAGTGTCAGCAGAAATTAAAGAAATGGGATCCACTTGGGAGGTGGAATTGATAGAACAGTTTGGATGTGAGAGATGAGGCAGAGATCCCATGTCCTACTTGGTGGTCCAGTCCCACTAAGTCTAACAGGAAATTCAGAGAAGAGAGGTATAATTAGGAAGGAGAATATAATGATCTGAATTTAGTGGTAAGTTTAATTTGCAGCCAAAGCATGGCAGGGAGCAGGTGTCAAATAGTTACTCTGACAAGTTCTTACCTTAATGGAGAGGTTAGGATTGTGGATACAGATTTGGGACAGTTAAAACCACAAATGTAGTGAGACCATCAAGGAAACTGTGTGGGCTCAGGAGAGCAACCAGCCATGGAAGATCAATTTAGTTGTCTTCAAGATCTTCCCAAGTTTCTGATCTTACTGAAAGGTTGGTCGGTGCGTTATTGCTTAGAGTAAGTACCCTTGTACTTGGCGTGCGAGTGCCTGTGTGGT